GGGAGCCGAGGGTATATATTTCCAGAGAAGTAACCAGTAGAAGAGATTCCACTCCGGCAACTACGCGCTCTCCCTTCTCCTCGCCTACGTTCTGTTCATATTTTTTCGTCTATTTTGTCGTTCGCTCGTAATAAAATATGACAGAACTCGCGTCTCGTTCACTGTATTCAGATTTCTTTGCTAGATAACTGTGGCGGACCTATCAATCAAGAACCCTACTGTGGTGCATTTTGATATTTTCAACAGACAAGGCATGTAATTCGTACCAATTCGGAACCTACTTCTTGACTCACGGCGCTAATATGCTGAGCAACTGGGCTGGCGGGACAGCCCAGGAACAAGCACGTCGACAATACAAAAAGTCTACACATTGGTGGAACACAGTATTCGCGGAGTAGACCTTCCTGATAAAATTCTGATCAAACGAGGAGACGAAAAAATGCGAAAAGGCGGTGAACTTCGAGCGTTTGAACAAACCTTTATAATCACCACGGCACGAAGATAAGCCAGAGGAAGTAGGAGCGACGCTGCAAAGCACTAAAAACTCTAGCGCTGGGATGCTTCCTGGCTAGTGTTTACTTCAGCCAATTGCAGCTTTTCTATCGGCGATTTTAACTGCAGCCGACTGAGTGATTGAACACGCAAACATCTGATTGGAACAAGTATTTCGAAGTTCCAAACAAAACTAATGCGGTTAATATTAGGGTACTCTATGAGGTTTTTAATTTTTCGCATTTCGATCTTTATTTGTTAATTCAGCGAAAACAACATCTCAAACCTAGGTAGTGTGATCGCCAAAGGGTTTTACCTTTACGTTTACGAATGCCATGCAATGCCAAAGTGTTAACGCGTAGTCTCCAGAACCGCTAGGCTATGGCCGTATGTATGTATGTAAACACTTCTGTGAATAATGAATAAACTGTGCAGAACTGAACCGCAAGCCGTCCATCCGTAGTGACTACACGGGTAACACTTCGCTGATTCATCTAGACTGGTGGCGACACCACGTAGAAAAATATTTTGGGCAGGGCAGAAGAGCGGTAAGCGCAGAGCACTGAGCTACAAGTATGTAGCTATAAACGTTGGTGGTACGGACCAGGTATGCAGGGATGGGGGGGGGGGCAAAAAACAGAGTCACTCACCTCCACAAGTGAAACGGAGTTAATTACACCCCTTTAAATTAAACGAAAGCGAATGATTTTAACTGGAATCGGAAGAGCATATTTCAATCTATCAAAGAACTCTAGTAGCTTCTACCGCGAAGACATCAGAAGTTTTGCTTTGGGAACATAGTGCGGGTTCCCCTTGCCGAGGTGTACAACGGACTTCACTGCCATATAGATAAGCGTGAGGAAGCTTGTTCAACAACTTCTGGAGCATTGCGCAAGATTCTTCAGAGTCAGCAGCTGTTTGCACACTTGTCCTCCGATGCGTATAAATCTCTCACCAATTGGATCACCCTGTATGGGTGAATGGCCTGAACAACCTGATAAACTAGCAAAGAGCAAATACGGAATAGTTCTCCTGGCCAACTCCTTATAAATGGCTCATCTTCTAAAATAGCCAACGTTATTGGAAAGGGCAATTTTTAACTTCTTCACAATCATGCTGAAAGCCTTACATTCCAAAGTCGTACGTTTGACCACGCTTTTGCGATTTTGGTTCAAGACTGTTTTGTCAAAGCAACACCTCTAGATCGAATTTGTGGGGTTGCAGCGGTTCATAATGAAGTTGTGGATGCCGAGTTGGCTGAAAATGAAAAAGGAAGTAAAGAAAACCGCCGATGAAGCTCAAAATAAAAAATTCCCATCAAGAAGGAGCAAGCGGGCCAGGCGACTTTTGCGAACGTGCCTGCTGCACAGGTACTCATGGGCTACTCTATGCCCCACTGAATGGATTCTTCAGCACAACTTCTGCCGCGGGTGTTGCGTAAGTGGAAGGTATCGAACTGAGCGCAAGTAGGAGCGTGTATGAGCAGAAAGAACACTAGATAAAGGTGGTGGGCAAGTGTCTGGGGATATAAAGAATGGTCCTTGAAATTGCAAGGCGCTCCAAGCTTGACTTTCCTTTGAATACTCATTCTGCTGCAAGCGATTTGACGTGGGTCCACTTCTCCTTCTCGTTCTCAGCTCAAACCCTGCAGGGTCCGCAGTTCTTCTTAGACGCGGTCGCTCGCTCCTGTCCGAAGCATCTTCTGGCATGGTCCCGACTACAGTGAGACTTTATGACGTCTCAGCCTCTTCATTAATCCACCGTAGATGGCTTGCCTTGCACTTGGAAGTACATTGCTGCTCTTATCGGATGATCCTGTGGCCTCCTTAGCACGTGCCCATACCATCGCAGACGCTGTTCCCGTACCTTCAGCTGGACAGGGGCAGTCTGCATGACCGCTCTGACATCCTCGTTTCTGACCCTGTCCAGTCGCGTCCAGCCGCAGGCCCACCTCGGCAATCTCATTTGGGCAGAGCTGCCTTTGTCAACCCTGTCCAAAGGTCAGCTGGCATCGCAGCCTTACCACTGTCTGGTGCACCCCCTCTTTGAGCTTTCTGGAGCACTTCCGATCGACTCCGGTGAACTCCCTCCATTTTATCCATGTCGCGCTGATAAGTGCAAATATCACACCTCTTGGTCCACCCTACCTTCGGCGGCCGAATTGCTCCCTAGGTATCGAACTCCTCTGCTCATTCGATGCCTTCCCCATGGCAGTCCGCAATCGGCTCCCAACCTTCTTCTCCGTTGCTGACTGCTATCAGGGTAAGGTCGTCGGAGTAGAGGATGATCCTCGGTTTATTTCGTTATGGCATCTGTGGGTAGGAGTAAGAGGAACGGGCTCAAAGTTGATTGGTTTACCGCAATCGTCGCTGACTTGTGCCGCATCTATACAGCTAGTGCAGAGAGCATCTCGGGCTATTTTTACAGGAGCGATGAACAGCGCAGTACATCAAGCCACAAGTCGTCTATCACTGTTTGTGGAAAAATATGTCCATATTAATGTGGGTACCTTTGTAAGCAATATGCACTGCGTTCGGCGGCAGCAAGAGATTTGACAAGATGGCTGACGGACTGCACGGCGATTTTGAATCTGCCATAAACTCCAACATATTACAGATAGAAACGCTTCAATTTTCGAACTGCTTATGTTTTATCTCCATACTCAACAATTTTTCTCTAATGAAACCAATCAATAATCAGTTCGCTGCAGTGTCTCGCGAGGTATGAAAAATTCACGTGGAACAAGATTGGATGCGCCGTGCGCGCAACAGCTGCTTCACATTGGTGTATACAACCTTTGAACCAAGTATTGACGTTGCTCTTGTGGCCAGGTTAGATGCTGAGCTCGTGAAGTGTCACTCATAAGGGTACTACACTACTTCTTTGTCACTACTTGTTTCAGGAATCCTTTTTTTTTCAACATAATTTTAACAGAGGGGTCCCACCTAAACATGAAATGATTTGTAGTGATTATTCACGTTTCTTTTCCTGTAGCTTGGTTACTGCTGCCGACTGGTCCAGTTCGATAGCACTCAGACGACTTCAGCGATTGGGTGATCGGTAGTGGTTTTTGGCCGATGATTCGCATAACTGATAGGAAACTTCCAGTCTCGTACGACACTGATAAGCTGTCGTAGTTATTCACCGGAAGACCAAGGAAGACCACAAATCATTTCCACAACGGTCAGACTTGAAGCTCATCACGACGATGCCCGATACTTAGGTTTAAACGCCTTTCTTGGTAAACATCTGCGGAATTGACGTGGGATCTTTTCTGCCTGCGACTCATTGTCCACCCAAGGTAGGTGGTTTATCTCAACAGCAGATACTTAGAGCAAAGAGCGGAAAGAGTAGGCTAATAGAGTACCTGGCAAAGCTAAAATTGAGTTTCTGGTTGGACCTTGAGCTCTCGAAAGTTGCCAGAATTGAAAAGATTGCCCGAAAACCTTAAATGCCTTCAACCGAGAAGCTAAGGTTGTGTGAAGGTGTTAGCTGGAGAGGACAGTTGCGTATTGAAGAGACTTCAAATAAATTTTGAGCGATTCTTCAACCCTAATAGACATCTCGACATTTCCGACTCCTCCGAATACGTCGTTACTTCGACTGACAAATAAATACCCCCTGCAACAAACTCCGCCCCACCTCGTAACATTACTGTTATTCCCCTTCCAGTCAGCTCTGTTCCCAGTTCGTGTCTAGCGTCAAGGAAAGGACGATATGAAACTACTGCTAAAAGTTCCATGCCGAGCAATGACTTACCGTCAAATTTCCCTCCAGAAGGAGTTATCACTGCGGTTAGAAGACGTTTTCGAATTGAATAGCTCTTAAGCTTCAACTTGGTTGGCTATTCTCCCTTATGGCTTGGACCCAGGTGAATAACGGTCGAGGAATTCCTCGACCATCGCTCTCTGCTGTGCGAGAGTAGTGCCGAGAGTGAATGTACGCGCGGAGAGCACAGACGGCTCGCGGGTGGCGAGAGTGAATATCCGCGCGGAGAACGTAAAGGATCAGGCGAAAATCCTCGACGTGCCGTTGAATCCTCAAGCAATATTCACCCTGCCTAGACCACAACTTGAAGCTTGAAAAAAAAACCATTGAGCTGACTCATTTTCAGACTGACGTATAAATGTGATGCCATCAAGGTCGAAAAGTCCGCTGTGGTCTGGCAGATAAGTTATCTACGCAAGTGACTACATATCTATAAAGGCAGAGCTCGCCATGGCCGAATATTAACAGAGAGCTGTTGGTTCCAACACGAAATGTCTGTATTATAAAGATTTCGGGCTCTATTCCTATTTGTTTCCAAACTTTTTGCATAATAATCCTTTTCATCAACCCTATCAATAGCTCTTTTGAATAGCGCAAGCATAGAACGATGCCTCGGTAAAGAGAAGCAAACCTAGTTCTGAGTTTCTGCTATCTGAAACCTCACTGATAACACATAGTACCTCCAATTTTCCAACAGCATTGGCATTTCTGTTGAGAAGAGCTTATTGAAGGTTTCAGGTATGCAAAAACTAGCAGTGCTGTTGGCGTGTTTGGTGATGAACTGCTTGGCCAGTCCAGTTGTTCAACAGGCCAAAGGCGACAAACACGAGGCGGCATCTGAACTGGTACCTTACCTTCTTTTTCTGCGTTGGGTAGATTTCTACATGACCCCCACAATTCGACTCTTTCGACGCTTTCCAGGCAAGTACCTCATACGGATCCGCCTTCGATATTGCCTATGCGGCCTCTAAAGCGACATTTCAGTGCTTCAAACAAATGTCCTACAATGTCGCCTTCATCAGGTTGGTTAACCAGCTCTTCGATACTCATTTTCTAAATCTATTATATGTGCTCAAAACGTGCAAACATATACCAAACAACCACATCAACCCATTGCCAAAAACCTGATCATGCATAAGCCTGAAAACACAGCCTTTTCAAGTCACCTTCAGGCTTAGCACGAAAGGTGAATCGAACAAGGTTTGGAGGACTCTCACCTTCAGTGTTCCCCTTGAGGCAAATTCCGCTCCGAGAGACTATCTGGGGTATTGGGCAGGAGGACCGACGCTACGCAGAAAGGAGAAGCTGAACGCGCGCTGCGACGAGGCCATCACGGTTTTGTTACCCCGGATGAAGCTCTTACAAGGAGGTGCTTAAGGATATGAAGCGATTTTCCGCATATTGTAGAGGCTTATGCGAGGAACACAGAACCATGATCCATTTTTCCTGAACGCCTCCAGGAATGTCAAAACAGTGGTGAAGAAATGGTCCAGAGTTCGATCCCCGGTGATGACTAATTTTTGCAATAGTTTGGCGCCCCCAGATTGCCGCCAAATGGCGCCATCGTCGAGAATAGATGTCATTGTCGTGTTTTGCGGCAATTTGGAGGCGCCAACATAAATTGCAAAAATTTGTCATCACGGAGGATCGAACTTTGGACCATTTCTTCCCCGCTGTTTTGACATTCCTGGGGCGTTCAGGAAAAATGGACCATGGTTCTGTGTTCCTCGCATGAGCCTCTACAACGCACAGAAACCATTCAAAAAGCTCTATGTCCTGAAGACTTCCTTGTTAGTGGGCAGTATCGCTCCGCTAGCATTATTACGTACTCTGCCTTTCTCCATGGCCAGTCCTGCCTTCTTTACAGACTGAGTAGCCATGTAGTGATGGCTTTAGGAAAAAAAAACTGATACTGCGGTATGTTTGATGTGAATGATGTTATCTGATACCATCGGTGCAGCTATGTCTGTAATTACGGCATGTTTTGCCACGGGAAACGAAGTGGTCTATGGGTCGAACTATCACATCCATTCATCGAGAAGGCAGCCAGCCTTATCAATAATAAGTTTCCGTCTATAGCCCCAAGCCTCTAGCTCTATTCAGCTGTTGAGACATCATTCATGAGGTTCTTGTATTTCAGAGCTTATAATGGGGATTTCCAAGGACAAGTTGATCCCTACGCGACCACCAACATCCAGAATGCCGCTGCTGGTAAGTGATTACCAAATTGAGCGGTAGTAATGCAAAGCGATGCTCTTCCATAGCTAGCAACTAGAGCCCTTCATTATTCGATATTCTTCACCCTACTTCTTCTCGAATATTCATTCATTTTAGCTGGACTCGGTACTGAAGTGTTCATGACTCCTCAGCCAACCTCTTCTTCTAAGAGTGGGCTTCAGCAATTTGATGAGATGTACAACATGCTTACTGGAGCCAACATTTTTCTTAAATCCGTGTGGGTTCAGGTAAGGTTCGGACACGTATGTCATGGCGATGTAATTGCCCTCCACTTTGGAAAACGGGTGAGTGCAGACCACACACCGCAAGTGACGACGGCTAAGAAAAAGCGAACTTTTTCTTATTTTTTCTTGGCCGTCGTCAGTTGTGGTGTGTGGTCTGCACTCGACACTCTTCCCGTTTCCGAAATAGAGTCTGGGTCATGGCGATGTAATTGGCGCCTTCTTCAGGGGCCACAATAGAAAATACGAGTAAAATACGATGTTGCTGAAAATGTTAGGAATCTCGTTGCCTTATTGGTAAGGAAGTAGTGAAGGCTGCAAAAAGCAAATAGCCCCAAATCGAGTAAAAGGGGCGGAACGTTCACAGTACGGGATATAATTCGTAGTTTTGGGGACTAATACAAAAATAGGTACCTTTCTCAGGCAGTAAAATAAAGACTAAAAATGGGAGTTTTCAGGTGGTATCTCCCAGTGACTGGACCTCATCCAGCACAACCAACATCAACTTTCTCAACAGCATCCTCTCGCGAGCTATGGTGAGTAGAACGGTTGGGACTTTGGCCTATTTCTTGATAAGTATGGCAAACTAGGGCTTATTTCCAGCAATATGGCCTGACCGTTGGTGTATATACGAGCAAGAAGGAGTGGAATGAAATCACCAGTCACGCCAGCACCCTGAATGTCAAGCTCTGGTAAGTCGCGATGGGCATCTATGAGTACAGGAATGAATGCCTTCCAAGGAAGCAGCAATGTGTAGCCTTGAATGGGACGAAACTATGACTTTTCTCCTGTCGAAGTAACGAAATTGATAGTCGGATCAAGTGGTTCCTTTTTCAACATCTCGATCCGAAGGGTTTTTCGAACAACTTCCCACTGTGCCACCTGAGGAGGACAAGGACGATTTATCAGTACGGTGAGTTGGTCCCACCGTAATAGGGCGTTGCACTGGGGCGTGCTGTTGACTATGGAGCGCGCAATTCAACTGGAACACGGGAACAGACGTCCTATGAACGGTGCCTGAGTGAGCCTGAACATGTGACTCTGCGCGCCCCATCGGGAATGCGGTTATAATGGAACCAATTAAAGTACAAAGGAATCGTTTTACAATCGAAAAGTGGCTAAAATTCTTCTTCTCGGTTGTACTTATAGGGTCTATTCCAGTTAGGGGGGCATCATGGTGCGGTGACTCCCAAAAAGCTACGGTAACTCTGAGCCAGGGGAGTGTAGCCAGCCTAGGGGGTGGGGGGTGAGGGCAGTCACTTGACATGCGTGAAAAGCTGGAATGTTCGAGTTTACACTAGTTCGCCGAGAAACTGCATCATGATGCCCCCCCCCTAACTGGAATAGACCCTACTTATATTATCCTTCGTGGCTGAGCGCTGTCGTGATTGCTGACTCACTGGCAAATGAGACGACGGCTTCAACAAAGTGATAAAGTCTGGGCTTGAGCCGTTTGGACACAGTGAGCACCCGAAATTCGCGTAAATCACAATGTTTCTGCCGCAGTCACGTATATTGCGCGACGCATTGACGCGCTTGGCAGTCGTATGGTGGCAGTCTTATGGTTGTGCGATCAATGAGGCTGGGCAGCAACCCAAAAAATGGACAAGCGTCGCAGCCCAAGATCAATCACCACTTATCTTCTTTATTCTTGATTTGAGGACTGGCTGTCATTCTCCGTTCAAGGTACTGGAAAACGGACGGCAGTGGAGCGGCTGACGAGTCCCCAGCCAATTTCAAGGACTTCAAGGAATTTGGCAGCTGGACAACGCCGACGGTGAAACAATACGGGCAGTTCGAAACCATCTGCGGAGTGATTGTGAACAGGTAGGTGAACAAACCCTCGCACAAGAAATCATTCCTGAGCAACCAACAATATCAGAGTTATGACCTTCACAAATGTTCTCTCGCCATGCCTCAAAGGCATGGATCGCGACCAAATTTTTGGGGAAGTCCTATCCGCGCGTGCAGTAGCAGGGTTCCTAAAAATAAGGGCCTTGGGACTGTCACGACTTGCGAATTAGCCACAAAGGCGCAAATCCCTCCCTTTGCCCGCTGCAACCGCTGCCATTCTCATCATCCGCAGCAAATATGGTGTGTGTCCTTCTCGTACAATGTGCTCTTTCGCATTATTCCATGCCCTCTCAGTGCCAAGCCTCTCCATCGGTTGACCTCACCAGGCAATAGGTTCTCAGTATTCAATGGTTCTTAGAGCTACACTAGCCAACGACGCTTCAGCAAACATCAAGAGAAACCTGAAGCGCAGGGTTCTTGCTAGGTTTGCTGTCTCTAAAACTTATACTTATGATCCTCGACGTTCGGGACGTCTATAGTCCCCACTCGGCTCATCGTCGTCGGCAGCAGTCGCTAATATGGCAAACCACGAGAACTCTGATAAGATCATCGTTGGTGGCCACTTACTTGGAGATGTAGCAATTACCGGAAAACCGGAAGTTATACCGCGAGTGTAAATCTACATCATATAAATATTCATGGAATAAATTGGAAATAAATTGATTTGTTTGCTATTAACCATGAGGAAATCTTGAACCTAGTTTATGCCCATGGAAATAAATCACAATTGTGACCAAGTACCCTTCCTTTTCAAAACGAGAAGAGTGTCGGATGCAGACCATACACCACAAGTGACGACGGCCTCCAGAAAATACAAATGTTTTTTGCCAATAAAATGATTAACCTGTTCCAGTTGCATTCGATCAGTTGACACCAATTACAACTATCATTTACTCAAATCAGCTATCACCATGAAACACTACTACCCAGACTTATTTGGAAGCCGTCGTCACTTGAGGTGTGTGGTCTGCACTCGAAGCTCTTCTCGTATTTCTGAAAGAGAGGGTATGTAACACTGGTAACACGTTTTCACCGTTTCGAACATGCGTACCCTCGTACCGTACTATTACTACCATCACATGTTTTCAGTCCTATGACCCGTTTCTGGCGCTGCCACTTATTAGGGCATTGTTTCCTCTCGTCGTCACTTCGTCACTCTCCCCTCGGGGTCGGTTTCTATTGGTACCGGACTGTCTTCGGGAGGATAAAACAATGACTTTACATCTTACTGGCCCCAGCAATCACTGCATAGGTTAATCATTCAAATGCCGCCCCGCACTATTCTTGATAAGTTAGAGTGCGTGGCGCATCTTCGAAAGGAACCTAAATGCATGAAAAGGCAAGCTGAATTCTTATACCAGCGTTTTTCATACCTCATCACATCAATCAATACACGTAGAAATCATGGGGTAGTAAAAGTAAACGGTGAAATTCGGAATGAGCATCAACAAGCCTAGTTGTGAGCCTTTGCGTCGTCGTCGACGACGTCATACCACTTTCCGCCGATGTTGAGTCGACTTGGTTTGAAATTAGGACATTCAACTTGAATCTTCATCAGCTTTGTTTCGTTCGTTTGTTCGATTTTCACTGACAGCATCATGTCGATCATCATACCGTAATCGACATCCAACGGTGTCACACAAATCTGAAATATTTCCAATCTAGAAGGTAGGCAGGGGGGGTGTTATCCATATCATGGGGGCGACATTGGATCGAGTGTCGCCCAGCCACAGTTGGAGCGCCAATAGTTGCTCATCTTCTCCAGGTGCCGAAGTCACCACGCGACAAAACGCCGCGTGGTGACCTCTCCATGAAACGTATGTCGGTCAGTGAAGGCTATTGACTTCCCAGTATGTTTCAGCTATTCGGCTAATTATTGTTTCACTTGAATCAAACCATTTCCGCGAAAAAGCTAAACACTCACTGAAGTCAGGTACGATACGACCTTTTGCCTTTGGGAGTGCCTTTTTGCAGGGTTGATCATTTTGCACAGATTCCTTCACCTTAGGTTCGTTCACCTTTGATGGCTGACACTCCTTTCGACTCGATCTACTCGCCCGTGATGTGCTATATGTGCTATAAAACAAATAAGCTTTTTCAATAAAAAACAGCCTAATATGGAATTACTCACTATTGTATACATGCCATCACAATCAGCTCAAAGGCACGGGTGTCCCCCAAGAGGCCCATCGCGCGGCGAAGAAGAGACGCAGACGCGGCAAAGGACGAGTCGCAGCGCATACTGTAGCGGTTAGGCGTCAGGTTAAATAGAGTGTACCATACTACGTCTCATATCGCACAGCACGCGCTGCGACTCGTCCTTTGCCGCATCTGCGTCTCTTCCTTCGCCGCGCGATGGGCCTCTTGGGGGACACCCAAAGGCACAGTTCATCGACCACGTCGATGCGTTGGCTCCACTCGAATAGGGCAGTAGCAGTGCGGTCCGCCAGTTGGGAGAAAAAAGGAAAACTATCAAAAACACTGAAATCAGGGCGGAGGGGTCTAACAAGCGAACGAGTGAGTTGACAGATAAAAAATGGGTGTTGAGGAAAGAAAAATAGTTTGAGACGAGAGCATAGAAGATCAGATAGAGGTAAGATACTACCGCGGTGGGCGTGCTTAGATCCATGCTCACAGTGGGACAATATCCTAGGCCCGTAGCGTCTTAGTAACGCGTTTCGAGGCATAAGAAGGGCACGATCTCTGCAGTGACCGATCGGGCAGGGAGGTCTTCTAATGGAACCGATAGAGGGGTGTGCCTGTAACACAGTCATGAAATTGATACATGATACGGTAATGAGAGCTCATCGCCACAAAAGAAAAAGCAGCAGAAATCTATCGAGCTCTGATTGTTCTCTTATCAGACCGCTTCTTATCAGACCCTATAAAGGACGTAGTTACTGTAAACAACTCGATACTATTCCAGCTTTGGTAACATGAGATATCAACCTATCGACCGAAGTGGCATGAACAGAATTGCCCCTCTGGTAGCCACAAGCTGCATTTCTAAGCGAGACTATAGGAGCAAGATAATGCCAGTGAAAACTCACGAAGGTCCGCAGGTTGAACATCGCTCCACGGATGAATCAGAAGTGGTCCTCTGAAAAAGAATCTTCATAACCCAAATGGGTCTGTATAGCGTAACTGAAAAACAGAAATGCGGGGTGTTAAATACGTAGTTATATGACTAGGTGCGTTTATAGTCGGCGAATAGAGGCTAAGTTCGAATCAGAAATGCGTGTTGCTGCGGCGCAGAGAAACTGTATAAGCTGACGCGCGCAACTAAACTTGGATATTTGTCGCTGAGTTCTTATTATGTAAGAGCATGTAAATAGAAGCCGTGTGTACGACGCGCGCCGCCGCAATCCTTATGTCCTGACTCACACCCATAGCGGACGAATGCTCTGTGAAACATAACAGACGTTCAGATAAGGGCGCTTCACAGAAATTCAACCTGCGTCTCCTCGATGCTGAGGCAGTTTTGATTCTCTAAACTG